AATGGAATCTTCAATTTTCAGCCAGACCCGCATAAAACAGTTTGATCGCTTCCATGGTTGATGCTTGCAAGATAACAAAGCGAATGAATGAGTGGCCTGACCGCTAAAGTACTGATATGTGTAAAGAATTACTACATATTCAATACCATTAAGTGATATGCAAATCATGGACGTCACACGGAAAGCGAGCTCGCATTTCGTCCGTTCCGGAAGCGCGTGCTAACTGTTGCACCCTCAACGCTCCTGTCGGAACCATCACACTTTCTTCCCTACAAGGCATTGATCTGTCAGCGACGAACAGTCAACGGTTAGGCCCTGCAAGGCGATATCGGCATTGTATCGGCACCCAGTTATGTTGACAGATATTAATTTTATAAGTATACTTGGCTAGAACCACTTTTTTTGTCCACCTTTAGCGGTAGAATGGTGTTACTAATTTATATCCAATAATATTGAGTAACACAAATAGCCTTATATTTTATTTATACCACTAGCCTTCTGAATAGTGCTTTTCGTTGGATTAGCTGTCTTGCATTCGTCTCTGCAAAAGTCTTCAGATTTTGTTCGTGAAGTCGGCCATAACTAAGAGAATTTTGGCCTTTCCTATGAATGTCGTGAATCAAACAAATTTTGGCCGAACGACTCTTCTAGAAATCTTTGAATAGCTCTGTCAGATTGTTCCACGTCTTCACTACGGGATATGGTCGGAAAGTGTCAATTGATAAAAGGCTCTGATTAAGGGTTGGTGCCAAATTTTCTCGAAGAGAGGAGTGCTTGGTCACGTTGTTGCGAAGCACCAACTCATTTATTGTTGCACGACATTTCTAATCACCACGTTCCCTGCTATACATAATGTTACATCGATGACAACAATAATGAATAAAATCTTCATTGGGCACGAAATAAATATATACGAGTCGATTAAGTAACCCAGGAAATCGGCTTCATTCCGTGTTCGTCTTCTTTTTCTTCGATTTAGCTGCAGTTGAATTATAGAAAAGTACCAAATAAGCAAAATTTTTGACATGAAAAGATTGAAATTCTAAGCAGAAACAAACCTTTACTCTTTTTCACCTTTATTTTTCGCGGCGACTTCTTCCTCCTTTCACGCTTTTTACCAGTAGCAGCTTGAACGACAAAAAATCAGCACCACAGATAACTTTTGAAAACAACTATCCATATCTATTACTAGAAGTCGCAGAAACCCCAGCTTCAGTAAAAGGCCCAAAACTGTAGGGGTTTATTTTCTTTCTCAATTGGAAAAGGAGTACAAGAGTATAAGTCTCTGACGGGAACTAAACGCCCCATAAATATACTGTGTATCGTAGATCGCAGACTTGATTGCATTGATATTGAAACACTTGCTCTGACTTACTGATGTTTTAAAGCTAGTGTTATCAACCTTTCATACAAACATACTGCTATTCAATCAAGTCAAAAGAAGTGGGGAGCTTGCTTGACCTGTGGCGGAGGATTGAACCAAAGTCTATGTGCACCTTAGGAGAAGCTCGAAAGTCTGCGCTATACACGCCTTAAGTGAAATTTTAATGTTATAGCGCATTTGCTGATTAAAGTGCTCGAAGCGGTAAACATGTTCGACTACAGCACAATGTTTTCATCATATGGTGGTGTAGTTATTACAAGGTGCTATGGTAGCTCTAGTGATCATTGTATTCATAAATCAGTGACTACTGTATATATATAAGTTTTAGAGTGTACCTACTTCTCATAATTACACTAGGAAATTCAGTTTGGTAAACAAGCGTGCAATTCGGGAACGCAACTTCAAAGAAAAGAATTGACGAAAAGTTACACTCAAATCACAGTTACCTTTAGAATCCGCAACTTGCGCACCTTCCTTGAGTTCGGTTCTACTCTAAATTGTCGCACTCTTATATCATGCTACTCCTAGTTTTCGTTCCAAATGATTTTTCCAAGAAAGTGACGAGCAAAATGAAAAAATAGTTTGCTCATGGTATTGATGCGCCGTAATAAATAAAAACAACCTAATCTCTGTAACAAATTCTTTCCACAAACACTCGAGCTTATAGACGACCAACGTGAAGTCAAGCGAGCGCAGATATCGAAAACGCTCAAAGTTGCAAAGCGCTGCAAAACGGCGATAAAAGAAGATCATAAAGGGAGAAGAACAGAAATAGCGGCCGAAGCTGGAGAAGTTTGAAGAAGCATTTGTAAATTCCACAAAAGCTTCGCTGTTTGCAAGACCAAGCAGACGGCACTTCCACGCCGTGATCAAATAGTTCCAGCTTCTGGAAAGGCGCTGGAAAAAATTATCCACGATTAATACCAGATTTCGTCAACAGCCATGCTTTGTATATGTAGTTAAAGAAGACTGATATGTTGTTACGCCAATGCTCCCTTCCGAAATCCGACATGTTATTCCTTCGTTGAACAGTGGCACATCTGGCCCAGGCAGGATAAGACAAAACACCCAAACAACCTCTCGCACTTTCATCGGCACCACTGCTTGGCTCTTCACTCGTTATTGTCAGATTACAAGGTCTCTAGTCGATGATTACCACCAAGACGGTGTTATTGTTCAACACGAGATGCTCACGACATCAGCAACTATTGCTTGACCTAAGTGTGATTCGTCCTCTGTAAGCTTTTCAGTCCCAAACGGGATCGATAGAACATTGGACGAAGGCGGCTATGAGAACAAGCAGAGTTTTAAAGAGGATTCAGGGGTTTACCGAGTACGTTCCTTGAAATGTCAAACCCTTAATAGGTCCAATGGCTCCAATGGAAGCAATGTTTCGAGTTCTTCACGAAAAGCCTAGAAGAAAGGTGTGATGATACACAGCGACCCTACAGCAAAGAGGGCCCACTGGACCTCTTGCATAATACGAAGTAAAAGAGAAGTTCTAGTGGTGTCCACTCGAGTCATTATCGACCTTAGTTTCACTTTCAGGCGTTCTCTATACGGTGTTTTGTTGTTTATTCAGGCTTGCTTGAGCGAATTGCAGCTAGTTTTCAAATTTTCTGCATAATATTACACAAGTATTCGACTTATTGGAGTTGCAAATATAAATTGACCTATCCGCTACTTACCCCTAAATACTTTTTTGTTCTAATTTATCTATTATGGCTTTACTTCAGAAATACTTTTCTGATAATGTGAAAAAAATTACCGCAGTGCTTCCTGATGTCTTACTCTCTTCTCCTTGCTGCAAAACAAAGTATGATTTATAATCATATGAAACAATTGATTACCATACTTCGTTGTGCATTTTATAGTGGTAACACCAAGAGTGGCTCATGCACACTGTTTTATCGTCGTAGATGATACGACTCTGTTGCTTCATCATTACTCGCACTATTCATCAATACCACATGCCTTTCGGTTCACCCCTACAATTAATGATGATGGGCTCTAAAAATGCATCAGACAGTGTTGTATTCTACGCGAAGTATCAAACGCATTCGATTGGAAAGTGTTATTATATGATTTACTTTCAGTATATAACAGATCAGGAGGTCACCGCGAGTCATTGTAAAGGCCAGATATGCATTCAACCACTTAGACGAAGTTTGAAAAAAAAAATTGCATGGCGCATCCCTTAGGGATTGATCAGTGCCGAAAACTTCATTCCTTATCCTTCATTATGCTTTACTACCAGGCTTGTGTCATCGACTGGAAATCGGTTTAGACCGCAACATTAAGTGATCTTTTTACGTGGTCTAGATTGGTACATTATCGGCGCCACTACCATTAGCAGTAGGGATGAACCGACAGGCATGTGGTAATAATGATGAGTGCGAGTAACACCGAAACGCACGTACACCACTTGAAATACCATTGAGGCCAGAAGCTTTGGAAATTCTACCAGACTATATTAAATTTCAGTAGAGGTCTTAAACATAGTCGATTGGAAGTATCAGTAGATATGATATTGCCAGTAACCAGGGAGAACACGGGCCACCAAGATGGACAGATTTTAATTTGCGAACGACAATTTCAAGCAATCACATCGACAAGCATGACAGTTGCGCGAGAAATGAACGATTGGAAACTATGCTGGTCGCACTACCAGTGAAGGAAGCCATTCGATTATCCTATTAAGTAAAATAAAAACTAACAGACAACACATACTCAACAAATTCGTTTTGTAAAAGTTATTGAGTAGGAAATAGGTATTGGAGAGGGCTAAATGAGTGATACATCCAGCACTGAGGAGAGAGAGGGAGAGAGAAAGGTAGTGCGAAAAAGGTACATTTCATGAGATAATGAAAGACGCTCTAGTGCTATGTCCTATTTCAAAAATCAAGGATGCCACAACGTACCTCTGAGAAAAGCAGTGTTCAATAACCTTTTGTGGTGGGTTCCACTTGGTGTGATAAGCATATGTGAATGATCTCCGACCCGATTATCACAATATTACATGAGGATTATGGAAAAATAGTCGTTGTTTGAGTTCGTAGAACTACATGGCACATAAAATCCACTTTTTATATAAATTAACTTGCCCATTAACTACACCTGCTATGCTCCTAGCACAATCAAATAGGAGAATAGGTGATGCAGACGATGAGTGATGATGATGTGCACATGTTGGATGTATACATTTGTATGTCTATGAATATGTGAGAGGGTGTACCCGAGTTCATCCGAGTACGTTTATGTAGGCATGTAAGTGTGAGTGTGTATACCATATGAAGTTTATATGAACAAATCAGCAATCAACTTACAGCGCTTCGTACTTGTTCAGCTGTCTTGACATCACTTGTTGGCTAAAATGCAGAAATTGTGAAAACAAAATTTCTTACAAACTGTTCTTTTCTCTTATTAGCACTCGTAGAAGGTCGGCACGTCATCCTTTTCAATATATGACAGCGAAAGTTTCGACGACACCGCTTTCTTCAAAACCTAGACGTACTATAACGTACCATATTCGATTATTTGATTAATTTTCGTCTACATCAAAAGTCTAATGCAAAACAATTCACCCAATAATGCAGAGTGGTGTGCAAAAGCGTTTTGCGTTAGCTGGGACTCGAACCCAGATCTTACTCTTTCCGATAATGCGTGCTGAACCGTTGCACTACCAACACCCGCTTCGTACACTACTCTTACAATTCAACAATCCGGTTATAAAAAACCCCACTTTCCTAAACTTATACGGGTGTTACGTGACACACTGTGAAAATGAACCTTACTCATGAACCGTGCGGACGGAGCTACGGATAGGATAGGATCGCTTCTTGCTCTAATAACATTCTAGTAACTATACCTTCTAACCAATTTTACTAACACTAAAATTTAGACTGTCATGTAACGCGTCTCCCAACAATGCACAAGTGACGTCAAGGTCCTACATATTAGGTTGATACAAAGTAATTGCAGTTCCAGACCGTGATTTTCAAATCATTATATATCGAGATTTATTCTCAAGAATGTGGTTACTTTCACATGTTTATTGCTCGCTGTTTATTTTATGCTTATTTCAGAAATCATTTTTATTTGATCGCCTATTTCGGTGTTTTGATCATAAATTCAATGATGTAGAGTGGTGTACAAAAAGTTTGCGTCACCAGAGATTTGAACTCAGATCTTATTCTTTCCGGTAGCATGTGCTGAACCGTTGCACCACCGACGCTCGTTTCGCGCTGCAATCTTTCTACGCTACAACGCGTTATCTGTCAACAGCCAACCGTGTACGGTGTGGCGGTCAAATAAAAATGATTTTGCATCGATAACTGAACCCAATATCTGTCAGCAAAAGTGGGCTTGATGTCGATAATGACTGCCCCGTCACACCTTAGACGGTTGGCTGTCGACAGATAACGCGTTGTAGCGTAGAAAGAGTGGAGTGCGAAACGAGCGTTGGTGGTGCATTAGCACATGCTCCCGGAAAGAGTAGGATCTGGGTTCAAATCCCGGCTGACGCAAATGTTTTTTGCGCACCACTCTACATCATTGGGCTTATTTAAAGCATAGAAAAGAAGAAAGTTCAAACGGTTCTTCTTTCCAATTCGAAATGGGTCGTAAAGTAGCAGAGGAAAATCGTAACATCATTAACGCATTTGGCTCACAAACTTCTGTTAAGCGTATAGTGCAGCGTGATTCAGGAAATTTCGTAAAAGACACGAGAGCTCGAAGATGAGGAATGTAGCAAAAAAAATCAAGTAAGAGTAATCATCAAAGCTGATCCTCCTAAGACAACATAAGATGTTGCAGAAGAACCCAATGTCGACCATCTTACGGTCGATCATCATTTAGAGCACATTACAAAAGTAACTCCGAGTTTAGAGACCGGTTCAAATCGCGTGCACTTTGCTCCAACCTAGCACTAACGTGCTATATGACTTCACACTGCAGACCATATGCGAGCTTTTCGAACTACACCGAGAAGCATAACATGCATAACTTATCGATTTAGCAGTTTTATAATTCTTTTAAACGTGCTGGTATTGCTCGATCTGCAGATGATCCGTGAAACACTTGCATAAAAGGGAGTTTAGGCAATGAGCAACCCCTG